GACCTGGTACGGGTGTGGGAAGCGGTAAACACTAGCCAAGCCATCACCCTCCAGGGAGCAGCCTGGCATTCGTGGGCCCGTGAGCACCTCGACCCAGCCACAGACCCCGCCCAGCTGCAGGACAAGGATGCCGCCCTTGCAGCTCTTGGAGCCCTGCACAGCGACATCAGCCCGACCTGGCTGGAGGCAGCACACGCGGTGGAGATCAGGCTGCGACAGCAACAACCAGTGGAGGAGGAGGGGCCCCAGCAGCAGCCACCAGCACCAGCAGCGACACTGCCAGACTGCGCACAAGTGATGGCTATGATCATCGGGCGCCTGGGGTGGCGCCTCCCTGGGGCGACGGACGCTGTGCCGCTCCGCCGCCTAACGGTCAGTCTAGCGACACAGCTACAGAACGGGCATGTGGACGAGCGGCGAATACGCCTGATGACCGACTTCGTGCATGAGGCCCTGAACAAGCCCGAGGCCCAGGCCCAGCCTGACAATTCTGCCGAGGTTAGCCGCTTTCAGGCAACCCTGGCACGTTTGTGGCATGGGGTGCGCTGGGAGAATGAGAACAAGGAGACCATGTGGCGTCTCGCCGTGGATGGCGTGCCCCTACCTGGCAACACGCACCTAGCCCGGGTGCCCACTGAGCCATGCGGGTGTGGGACCTATGGGGGCGCCGCCGGCCGACCCTGCCCACCGCGTCTGCACCATTACTGGGAATGTCCAGTCGCACGTGCCGTACGGGAGCAGATCGACAGGCACCTGCCACACACTCAGACAACAGTAGGGGCCACCACCACCCGGCAGCAGCTCTGGCTTGCCCAAGCGCCACCCGGGTGTGAGCAGGGCCCTTGGGATGTGATCACCCTAGCGGCGCTATCCGCCATGGAAGTCGGCAGGTGCTGCCTCCGAGCAGCAACCCGGCGACAGGGACGGAGGGGGGCGACAGCAACGGCAGGACAGCAGCAGCAGCAGCGACAGCAACAACGACAGATGATGGGGCAGCCCCAGCAGCAGAGATCCCGCCAGCGGGCCATCACAGATTTCTTCACCCCGGCGGGAGGTGCAATGCAGCAAGAAGGACCCACCCTAAACGCCCCAGCGGATGATGGGCCAACGCAGGAAGCAGGGGCGGGAGGGGGCGAGGCGGTGGCAGCAGCAGCAACAGCGGGCGCAACAGGAGCCTCGCCACTGGCCCGCGCACGCGCCCGGGCGGTGGCAGACTTCTGGGCGCGTTTGCGCTCGTTCGCAATGCTGGAGACCCCCAGACACGGCTGGGACAGAGTCGGGCCGCAGCACCCCATCCTGGCGGTCGTGGAGGAACGGATGCGGTGCGCAGCACCGGTGGAAATCACGGCCTAAATAGCCGAGATAGAGTCGGATCGAGGTCTTACCGGANAGGGAGCAGGGAGAGTGAGGGAGGGGGTGAG